TGTAATTTGATTGAAACTGAACTTATTGACTTTGGTTATTATAATATTTGGTCCTAATACATTTTTTTCCCAACTGTTATACCCAGAGTTAGGGGGCTAGAATCTCCAAACATTTGTTTAATGGTAAATTGGTAATATAATATTAATACATACAGTATTGTACTACAATAGAATCTCGATAAACTTAATAATTTTGCTTCAATAATAGTTTTTTTCGGTTCTGGTTCAGTAAAAGCTACTAAAATATTAGTTTTTTAATTTAATATTTTGTTAAATTAATATAATTTTGCTAGGCTTGAGTCTTGACTGCACTAATTTCTAGAAGTTTAACTGTAATATGCTAAGTGTGTCCAAAAAATCCCTAATTTCTTAATTTGTAGAAGTTTTGCTATTTGTTGGTACTCTAGTAGTTAATTTCTTAATAGCTGTAGACCAACCTCTACCCCTTTAATTATTGGGATGTGATAAATGTCATTCGAGCTTTAATAATACAGTTTCGACATCAACGTGATTTTGATTATTTTTTATTCCAAATTTTGCAAAACCCGAAAAATAGAATTTGTAGTATTCTGAGTTAGTTTTCTATTCCAAAATTGGATGTCAGACGAGAAATATATACTTGAATCAATGGATACTGTCTACAAATTTGATGTATTGACGATGTATCTATAATAAAAAATGTGACTCATTCATGCATAACTTTTACACGACATCCAATGTAGCGGATTTAAGTTGGATTAAAAAGCTAACCCAAGAGACTACAGTTTTCGTGTTTCGAATTTTGCCAAAATCAAAATTGAAATATGTCAAAATCAGGTTTAAAGTCAAAACAATATTAATAAAATTGAAACGACATTTAACATTTCAGTTAATTATTTGATAGATTTGCAATGACGTCATAAAGATATACAGATATGACATATGAGTACTGAGTTTGGTAGTCGATTTTAAATCGATAATATTTTTGAACACTCAAATATATATAGTATATAAGATGTTTGTCCAAAAGCAATAAACAATTAAATCATCTTAAATTTGTTATTAAAAAAAATTGTTTCATAATTTTTTTATAGTCGAGCAAAATAACAAAAAATCGTACACTATATAGCACACGTTTTTGGCTAAAAATAATTGAAATTGTCAAATCTCTGTTTACATTTTGTAACACTCTAAAATACAGTATTAAAGATGTTTATTCATAAGTAGTAAATATATTGTTCATCTACGAATTATTTCACTATTAATTTTATAGTCGAGCAAAATCACAAAAAAATGTGCACACACACGTTTTTGGCTAAAAATACTTGAAATTGTCAAATCTTTGTTTACATTTTTTATCACTCAAAATACAGTATTGAAGATATTTATTCACAAGTAGTAAATAAATTGTTCATCTACGAATTATTTCTCTATTTTTTTAATGGCGGCCGTTATATGCAAGCCCATATTTTTATTAGTTCAAGACCTCCAATATAAAAATACTAATTTACCCTTAATGAAATTCAAAAATAAATAAAAAATACAAAATATTAAAAAAATAAAAAATATATTTCCTTTGTGCAAGACTAATTAAAATACATAACTCTAGAAATCTCCTTTTATTATTTCACGACTTAAAAATCTCCTCCTTCTTCTTCACAAAGCCACCAAGAAACCCTACACGTCGAAATTATCAAATACACACCAAACATTCACGATGGAGCCAGAAAACAATGATATGGTGGTTTACGAGGGTGGAGAACACAATAAGGTATGTTTTAACCGTTTATTTTTGCTTTTGGGTCGTTTTCTTTTTTGTTGAAAAAAAAATCGACGACAAAAAAAATCGGTATTTATACACCGATTTTTGTTGTGAAAATCGTCAACTGCAGTCCGATTATTGGAATATAAATCGGTACTCAATACCCGATTTGTGTAGTAAAAACCGGCATGACACAACCGATTTTTTTGTCTATAACCGGTGTTATCATTCCGATTTAGACTACATAAAATCGGTTTTTGAGAACCGATTTTATTATATATGTTTTTTAAGACCGTTTTCCCGTACTTTCTTGCAGCAACCTAGGGGATTGATGGAGGATTATTCGGATGAATTTTCTACCGAACAAATATTTGAGACACGAGAAGCTCTACTTGAGTGGGTTAAAGGTGTTGGTAGACGCCACGGAATGGTGATAAACACTTTCGTTTCAAATCCGGGATTGAAAGGGCGTAGAAGACCGTATGTAATACTCACATGCGAGCGTGCGGGTGAATATCGTGGGAAGAAGAAAGCCGGTGAGGATGACCAAGGAGAGGGAAAGAGGAGGACGGGTTCTAAAAAATGTAATTGCACATTTAGATTAAAGGGGACAAAACAAGGAAAGGATACTGATAATGTTGGGTGGGATTTAAAAGTTCAATGTGGTACTCACACCCACACGGATTTTGAGAACTTGCACGTCCACTCTTATGCCGGGAGACTAACAAAAGAAGAGATGGTACTTGTTGAAGGAATGTCTAAAGCAATGGCAAAGCCGAAGGCGATTCTCAAATCATTGAAGATAAGGGACGAGAGGAATGTAACTGGAATGAGGACGATTTACAATTATCGTCAGAAATTGCAATTGAAAGAGAGACTTGGAAGAACTCAAATGCAAGAATTGTTTGCAAGGTTGTCAAAAGATAAGTGTACCTTCTACCATAGAGTTAACAATAATAAAGAGGTAATCGATATGGTGTGGACTCATCCGAGTTGTGTTAAGTTAGCTCGTAGCTATCCGTACGTATTCATCATGGATTGCACATACAAAACCAATCGATATAAACTCCCATTACTTGAGATTGTTGGCTTTACATGTACGCACAAGACGTTCTCCATTGCCTTTGCTTACTTGGAGTACGAAAAGACGGAGAACTACGTTTGGGCATTGCAAAGTTTGGAGAAGATACTCGGAAATTGTCCTCCGCCTAATTGCATCGTAACTGATCGGGAATTGAGTTTAATGAAAGCGATTGGAGATGTATATCCAACCAGTCATCACTTGTTGTGTCGTTGGCATGTGAACAAGAATATATATTCCACCTGTAAAGCGATGTTCTCATCTGAGAAGTTGTGGAATCAGTTTAATAGAGATTGGGCGACTCTTATTGAAGTGGAGTCCGAAGAGATATTCAATAGAGATTGGGAGAAAATGCAACGGACTTTTGTTGATTATCCGGATGCCATAGCATATCTTACCAAATCATGGTTGGATCCGTACAAGGAGAGGCTTGTATCGGCATGGACTAAAAAGTATCAACATTTCGGTACTTACACTTCAAACCGGGCGGAGGGTGCGCACTCTCGGCTGAAGAGCGATATGGGCAATTGCCTTGGCACATTTGTTCAGGTGTATGAACATATCAACAGTAGTATTATGACGCAACATGATCACATAAGGGCATCATTTGAGAAGAGCAAGAATACATACCTCCACTGTTTCAAGAAACCAATCTATAGTGAGCTTCGAGGAGCTGTCTCGCAATGCGCCCTTGACCACCTAAAAATTGAGCTTGATAAAGCCCAAAAGTTGCTTCCAAACAGTGACATGCTATGTGAATGTGCTATCCGTGCAACACACGATCTACCATGTTACCACGAGCTTCGCGAGTTTGTCAAGAAGAAATCTCATGTTCCACTTGAATTAGTAGGCTCCATTTGGAAGCATATGAGTATGGAGCCGGTTATTGGTCAAGGAGAGCTTCCTAATGATGACGAACTCATGAAAGGATGGCACAAACGGTTTGCATCGGCCGATGTAGATGAAAGGAACGAAATGCTAACAAGTTCAGCGAAATTGTATATCCTCAACGAACATCTACAATGGAGCCATCGGAAAAGGCCACCACTAGAGGTCGACCGGGAAAAAAGTTAAAGGTGGTTGATAAATCAACTCGTCGCAACCCATCGAGGCATGAGTATCCACCATCGACACATGATAGTTGTTCTGCTAAGGTAAAATTCGATTACTTATCTTCAATTTTTGGAGTTGTTGATGTTGATTTGATAAATTGTTAATTTTAATACGTTGTCAATAATTAAGCTCGAAGGCGTGACGTGGGTTTATCCTAAAATTTCACGACCTATGAAAGTGGATTTAATGCCGTCACAAGAGTCGGCTAAACCCATTTTATTACGAAAGTTGCCGGTAAGTATTTGAACGTCTTCTTTAGTTTAGCTAAATTTATTTGTCCCTCCGAACTCCTTTCGTTTTCTAATTTGTCAGGGTCGAAAAGTCAACGGCAAGGCTTTGTTTCTTGACCAAATCTATCCAATGTTTCAGACGTATGTAAAAAGTATAAAGAATGTCGACTCAGATGGTCATTGTGGATTTCGAGCGGTTGCATCGATGATGGGTTTCGGAGAAAAAAATTGGAATCGTGTACGAGGAGACATGCTTAATGAGCTATATAAGAACGAAGCAATATACCTGAAGATGCACCGTCGTCGTGAAAACATTTTTGCGTTAGAAACGCGACTGTGTTGTTTGGAAAAATATGCTACAAGAGAGTATTGGATGTCCTTACCCGATATGGGTCATATCATTGGCTCTACGTACAATATTGTACTCGTCTACTTAGCGCCACAACAATGTCTCACTTTCCTTCCCTTAAACAGTGAACCGCTGCCCTCCGATAAGATACGAGAGCATGGACTAGCTTACGTAAACAACAACCACTTCGTACATGTCGTACTGAAAAAGAATTGTCATATACCTCCTATAGCGGATTATTGGCGACGATACCATGATGAAAAAGCAGATGGTTGGAAGACTTCCGATATGGAATCAAGGATTACAATGTTTAGGAAGTTAGTTGGTCAAGAAGTAGCCTTGCAAGAAACCTTCATAGATTTAACATATGCAAGTGAAGACGAGATGGTAAAAGATTTTCCGTGAAACAATGTGATTGATGTACAATCGTTTAAGATAGTTGGTACAATCGTATTATTATTATTATTATTATTATTATTATTATTATTATTATTATTATTATTATTATTATTATTATTATCATCATCATCATCATCATCATCATCATCATCATCATCATCATCATCATCATCATTATTATTATTATTATTATTATTATTATTATTATTATTATTATTATTATTATTATTATTATTATTATTATTATTATTATTATTATTATTATTATTATTATTGCTCGTAACATATATATGTATGAAGCATACCTCTAAAGTTGTATTACACCTTAGAATAATGTGTATTACGAGTTGGAAAAAACATAAAAAAAAAAAAAAAAAGCGAAAAACAATGACATATCGATTCTCTAGAACCGATATCTCATGGTTTTAAAAAAAATTTAAAAAGTTACCATGAGAACAAAGTTTAAAAAAAAAAAAAAAAAAAACAGAAATATATCGGTGCTATAAAACCGATTTGAAAATGAAAAATCGGTTCTAGAAAACCGATTTTTTGTTGCAAAATCGGTTATATAGCACCGATATTTTTCTGTTTTTCCAAAATTAAAAAAAAATTGTAAATCGGTACAGGAAAACCGATTGTTTAATGAAAAATCGGTGTTCAAGAACCGATATGTCACGGTTTTTTTGTTAATTTTTTTTGGAAAAACCTTGATATATCGGTACTTGAAAACCAATTTTGTAAAGAAAAATCGGTTCTCTAGTACCGATATCTATCTGTTTTCGTTTTTTTTTTTGTTTTTTTAAATTTTTTTTTCAATGTATGATTACTATCATGTGCGATAAATATATCATTAATAGCATAATAAAATCATCAAAATGAAATAAAAATCAATTTGCAATCAAATTGATCAAGTCCAAAAAAGATAAATAAAACCTATAAATACTATGCATAATGAAATTGTCTAGGCAAAATACTATAAAATATAAAATACTACTTCTTCATCGCCGTCCTCCTCTGAAACACCTTACGTGGTTGGTCTGCAGGTGGGGCCACAGTCGAAGATGGTGCCGATGGTGGCGGTGGTGAAGATGTCGGTGTAGGAGCTGATGACGACGGTAGGACGGTCGATGGGGTCTCATCAAATAATGCTAAGATCTCATTCAACGTCGACCACATTGCACTATGAGCATCACTAACGTCCATTTGACGTACGTTGGTGAGAGTTCCCTTAACCATGTCAAAGATCTTCATGTCCCTTGATTGTGGTGGATCCGTCCCATCGTCTTGCGGTGGTCGAGCTGCTTTGGATCGTGGTGCATGTGGTCGAGATGCCTGAGCGGTACTAAGGCGAGTAAGAGTGTGCTCTCTAAACCAATCCATATACGCAGAAGACGTATCGGGATGCCCATCAAGTACCGGAGTCGATCTCGCCTCGGCATCCAAGCAACACTCATCCCATTTATCGTGGAATGGGACAAATGACATTTCAAAATTATCACGTGACATGTATCTCTTCACCATGTATTGCTTCGCCATAGTTTCGGACATGTAGGGACACCCCGGTATTTGTTGGACCCGACTAAACTGGCGCAATACCCTATCTGGATGGTGTGGCTGCAAGAAGTCTAAGCAAGATAATATTCCGCTGAACCACGCCGATTCGGGCATCGGGAAACGATCACGAAGTTCGAAATATGGGTCCCATATAACCTACGCGAATATGTTTAATATTAACTCCTTCAAAAATCGAAAAAAAAATATTAACAAACAATTGACAATTTACCTCATCCGGTTTCAACTCGTCTAACATCAAACGCAAATGCCGTGCTCGTTCCACAATTGTCGTCGAATTCTTCGGATACACCCATCGGTTGGCCAAGTACCCCTCAAACTGTGGCCGGAATGTTGGATTGAAGGATGGGAAATGCTCGTAAATCCACGCCTGAAAAAGCGTCAAGTATCCGTTCAGTTGCGCAGTTGTAGCCTTCGACGCTTTTGACAACGCGCGATATAAGAAGCATAAACACGCGGTTCCCCAAGCATACTCGCCAATAGTATCCACATTCTCAAGAAACTGCAACCACTCAATGCTGACCAACGAGCCCGTCTTGTCCACAAAACTTGTGCAACCTAAGAGATACAAAAGATACGCCCTAGTAGCGTATAACTTTTTCATCTCACAGTCCCTCGCGGTAATCTTGCCGAAGGTCCGATGTAACCATCCCAATTTCAATGTCCTCTCCCAAGCTCCCATAGCTTCCGAATCAGGGTATACACCTAGCATTTTTGCAACATACGTCTTTCCCCACGTATTAGATTGTCGCAATTGATTCGAAGCTACCGCACGACCAACAACTGGAAGCCCTATCAGTGTACTGACATCATCGAGAGTGATGGTCATCTCCCCAACAGGCAAACGAAACGTGCATGTGGTAGGATGCCATCTTTCCACAAATGCCCTCAATAGATAACCATCTATAGCATTGTACGACGAAGTGACAAGTGGCATCAAGCCGGCCCTCGAGATAGCCTCTGAAATGAACCAACTTCTTCGTGTGGTTATGGGTTCTGAAATCTTCACGCTCGTCTCCGGAAAGTATACGGTAAGAAATGTGATCCTTGAAGTTTGGGATCAAATCTGCTATTTACGGACCTTGCGATGCGTTCGGTTGACTACTCGAAGCACCAACTTCCACGGTCGAGGCCGGTGGAGCGGACAGAGCGAGTGCGGGGGCCGTTGTAGTTGTTGCTGAAGAAGCACCTTCATCGGTCCGAGTGCGTCGACCCGGAGGATTAAAAGGAGTACACCTTTTTTTTGGCTTTTCCACCTTGCTCTTTCGAGCATTTTCCTTTCGTTTGCGGTTTGAGACGGTCGGCGGTACACGAGGAGGTTGAGGTTCCACTGAAAAACATTTAAAAAAAATCAATTGCTCAAATATAAAAAAAAAAAGAAAAAAAAAACGAAAAAAATCGGTATACTAAACCCGATTTTGTAATCATTAATCAACATTACAACGCCATTTTTTTTTGTAAAATCGAATTTCTATAGCTGATTTGTTGAACAAATGTCGGCATCATAACACCGATTTGTGTTAAATAAATCGGTTTGTATAAACCGATTTCCGGAACCAACGAAGAATAAAAAAAAAAATCTAAATCATTGCAACCCAACAAGAAATAAGTATAGATTAATGTTCATCCACACATATTTATCAAGAATTTATGCTCGATTGATGTTTTCGTATGTACAAACAAAAGTTTCATAAGAGGGCCTTACTTGTTGGTGGTGGTGGTGATGGTGCGGTGGTGGTGGCTTGCTGATCGTCGCCGGCGGTCTGGTGGTGGTCGTGCGGCAGTCTTGAGCGGTGGCGTGCGGTGGTGTTCTGCTGTATACGTGCGGCGGTCTTCTTCTGCCAAGGTCGTGAGGCAGTTTTGTTTTTGCGTATTTTCTTTTTTCTTTTGAGTTTTTTACTTTTAGGTTTTGTACAAATAAAAAAGTAGGGTTAATTTGTATTTAGGTATTATTTAATGATAAGGGTATATTCGTCCTCTTTGGTCTCGCTATAATAAAATTAAATTAATTTATGGGTTTGAACTAATAAATCCCTTAATGTGGGTTTGAACTTATAAAAAAACGGGCTTGCATCCTTTTTTAATAGTCAAGCAAAATCACATAAAATTGTATACTATAGCACACGTTTTTCGCTAAAAATACTTAGACATCGTCAAATCTCCTTTTACATTTTTTAACACTAAAAAATACAGTATTGAAGATGTTTATTCACAAGTACTAAATAAATTGTTCATCTACCAATTATTTCACTATTTTCTTAATAGTCGAGCGAAATCACAAATATATATATATATATATATATATATATATATATATATATATATATATATATATATATATATATATATATATATATATATATATATCATAGCATAGTTGGTTTGCTAAAAGATGCTGAAATCTTCAAAAAAAAAAAAAAAATTTATAGTAAAGAATATGTTATTTCAGAATTCCAAAATACGACGATCCCAATCCGAATATTTCTAAGTTTGGAACGGTAATTTTTCATTGTGAATCCCGCGTGTTCCAATCTCCGATTTTTCTTATTGACAGTCATTTTCAAACATCCGAAGTGCTGGTAAGAAAAAGCTAGCAACAAATGACACTTCTTACAACATTGATTCGAACGACACATCTCGATAGGAGAGTTATTACAAGAGCTCAAACACCACAAAGTCCAGGAATAACAAATTCAAGAAAACTAAGGCCACTCCTCAGTGTCAATTTATCACAAGAAATTTCAAAAATTCATCACCACCAAGTACAAACACATATATAGGTGTTCGCCTTCGAATATATATAACGAACATAATGTAGCATTAGGAAGCTTCTCGTCTTCAAGTAATTCATATTCAAGTAAGAGAAGACTTCGTTTTAATGATTGAATTAGTTACAAGGTTAACATATAACAAGATTCAGATACAAAGGAAACGAAAAAAAAGATAACAAAGAATTATGAATAGAACTTCACTCACAAGGTAAAATCCATCACTCTGCATATCAGACACAAAACCTGCAATCGATTCTCGAAGTTTCAGCCTGTAAAAATCAAGAAAATTAAGTATACCTCTATATATAAATACACATCAACTTTTTCAAATCATAATATACCTCTTTAGCAAAGAATCCTCAATAAACGTTTCCCAAATTCGATGTATCAACCATACTTATACGCTCGTTTTCCGGCAAAACCGACCAATTGGGAGATTGCAATGCTCTTAACCAACGAAAATCATCCACATTCTCCCAATTCCCATTTTCCACACCGAGATTCGCCTCCGTGAGATCCTTCTCGATTCCTTCGTAATTCAAACAATACGGAGCAAATCTAACACCATTACAATCCTCGATTATAGGCCTACTCCTCACTCGAAGATAAAAGTCGCAATTTTTCGCATTATGAATCCTAATTTGATGCGCCCCCAAAACGAACACGCAATCCTCTGCTCCCTCGATCAAAACCGAACCCATAACCACCCCTACGTAAACCTTGCAGTTAATCAACTTATCCATAAACAATGCCCTTAAGCAACCCTTTAATCGAATTTCGCAACCCCTCAAATCCGACAATGTGAACTCTCCGATTTGAATCTCCGAATCGCTTCTGTTGAATTCCTTTGTTAGTACCTCGTTCTCTCTGTTTCTGAACCCATGGTCGGGATTCAAATCCCTAAACCCTGGCTTTTTCTCCGGCTCAATGAATACTGCGTCGTTTTGAGGTGGAATTGGTGTGGTTGTCTTTTTGGAGGGTTTGTTCCTGAAGGAGAATTTCTTCTTGGGGATGACGATGGAGGTGACGTCATCTAGGGTTTGTCTGAGGTGGCCGATGGTGTTGAGGCAGGTGCGGATTTCGAAGGGGGGTAGGAAGTAGGAGCTCTCGGCGACGAGCTTCTCTAGGGCGGAGATTTGGAGAGAGATTGATTCCAGGTCGGGTTTCTGGGTCGGGTCGGAGTGGTGGCGGATTCCGGTGAGGTCCGATTCGATTGCGGATTTGGATTGAGAGAACTGAGAGAGGAACGACTGTGTGGATTCGAATGAGGTGGCGGAGCTGGGATCCGGTTTGCCGGAGAGACGGGAGTGGTGGCGGTTCGAGAGGCGCTCCACCATTGCCGAGTGCTTACGATCGAGGGCTTCGGCGGCGGCGGCGGCGGCGGAATCGTGGGTGGGCTGCTCGGTTTCTTCCATTTCGCGGGGACGGAGTTTAGATGGTGAAACTGTTGAAGAATGTATTAATGTGTTTTAATGGCGCAGTAAATTAGATGCGTACGAATAAACGATTTGTTTCAATATTTCACTTTATATAATTTTTAGGGTAAATTACGAAAACTCACCGAACTTAGGTTGAATTACGAAAATCACATCCACCTGTTTGTAATTACTAATCACCAAAACCATACCGATGTTTGATTTCGTCTTACACCAACCCCCTACGGTGTGGACTTTTCATGAAATCTTTTTTATTTCAAGGAATCGACTTTGCAAAGTTTAGGGTACTACATGTGCTGTTAAAAAACTCGTTCAACATTTAGATATAGGGGATATTGGTAATTACGGATAGGTTGGTATTCTTCGTTATTTAGCCTAAGTTCAATAGGGTTTTAGTAATTTACTTAATTTTTATGATTCAATCATTTTTTTTATGATTCTAATAGGGTAAGCTACGGCCACCTCCCTGCGATAAGGTTAAATTACGCAAAAACTCCTCGTGTTTGAGTAATATAAGCACCCCTCAACTATAAATCTTCTTACATGTCCACTCTTGCGGTGTCAAATTTAGTCGAATCTTGTTGATTACATGAAATATTCTCCAGTTTGTACGAGTTTTATCACATTTGAGTTCCCATTTTAAAATAAGATGATCATAAAATGTGTTTCTTGACTTGTAAATATCAGATTATGGTGAATCATAAACTACATTTTTGCACAAAACAAGTACAAACTAGGAGACTGTTTAATTTTACACCATAAGTGCAAACGTCTAAGAAGATTCATAATTGAGGGATGATTGTAATTACCCAACAAAAGAAATTTTTTTGAAATTTGTTATTACGTCACCCAATAAATAAACGGAAATGCTATTTGCGGTCAAAAAATTGCTATTCGCGGTTTCTAACAAAACCCCCCAAAACTTTTAAAAATATCAAAAAACCCCCCAAAACTGCAAATAGCAAAAAAAAAGAAAAAAAAATTTCGAAAATTCGAAATCAAGCTTGAAGAAGGGTTGGGCTTCGATTTTTTGATGTAATTTCGACTCTTTTATGTGTAATATGCATTGGGTAGGTCGATTACGGAACCAATTTCATGTTAAAAAGCTCTACAAATCGATTTATAGGGCTTTTTTTTTTCCGCAAAAAAATGATCGAACGCCCGGATCCGGGCGTTCGTACACGCCTTGGGCGCCCATCTTGGGCGTTCGACCATTTAAAAAAAAAAAAAAAAAAAAAAAAAAAAATTTGCACTGGACGCCCAACTCGGGCGCCCAAATGCAGCTTGCACGCCCAACTTGGGGGTGCACTGCATAAATGGGCGCCCAAGTTGGGCTTTTACGCGTTTTAGGGGGGGTTTTTGGATTTTTTTGGAATATTTTGGGGTTTTAGTGAAATAAAGTGTTTTTTAGGGGATTTTATTAAAAACCGCAAATAGCAATTTTCAAACCGCAAAAAGCAATTCCCTAAATAAAATATCAAGATTAGATTAAATAACAAAATATGAGCTGAACCAGAAAATTTTATTGCCTATTTGAGAGGTCGTTTCTATACTGCCTGTAATTTGCTGAGATTCTGAAATTTATTTTTCATTTGAACCAAAAGTCAAAATCCGTCGTCCTTTGGACCCCATCACCTGGCACGACAAGTATTTCCCGATTACACCAATTAATGTACAGAGAAATAAAAAATATATATAAAAAAATACTTCACTTTAAAAATATAGATATATATTATATATATATGTAAATAAATGAAAGTTCACATTAGCACTATCAATTCCATCAGAGATCTTTAAGAGACATGAACACACTCTAAATACCTATTCTACCATCAGTAACATTCACGACATACTGTACGATTAAATCAATCGGCCAAGTAATAGTAAAATATATATATAACAGTCGTCAACCCGTGAAACCTATAATCACACAAATTTACCGGGTTTTTTTTTTTGTTTCTTTCTTGATGTGGCGATTTTGGGTAAAAAAGTCTAAGGTGATGGCATGAAGGTGTCATCTTCCAACAAAGATTGAAAATCAATTAGATCATCGTCGAAATCAACTTCGGGATTGTTCAGCTTCTGTTCGTACACAGCCTGCACGATAAATCAAGAAAGATCAAGTCATATTTCACCACATGCAAAATTCGAGAGGATGCACATTATAATTAGGGTAAATTACACCAACACCCCTGAGGTATGCTAAAATAACTTTAAGGTCCCTGTGGTATCGATAATTATACTCAACCCCCTGAAACATAGTTAGAAACGCTAATGGGATAATGCATTGGATACATTATTCCGATAGAGTTCTAACGAACTATTTGTTTCAGGATGTGGTGGAGACAACAAAGAGTTACGGGTGATTTAAGAAATGTTGGGGGAGCCATGTCACCCCTACCTCTATGTTGTCTCCACCACTAGCTAAAATTAATAGTACGTTAGAACTATATCGGAATAACGCATTCAATTCATTATCCCATTAGAGTTTCTAACTATGTTTCAGGGGGGTGAGTGTAATTATTGATACCACAGGGACCTTAAAGTTATTTAAGCATACCTCAGGGGTGCTGGTGTAATTTACCCTTATAATTATAAAAGTAAGGTACGACGTGTACCTTCGTTTCCTGCATTTCCGAGACAACATTCAGCAGCCTGCGGTATTGATCCCGAGCTTCCGGGTACTGAACCATTGATTTAACCCTAGCAAGAGCCTTTTGCAGCCTCTCCTCTGTTTGTTTCCTACCTTCTTTTAGGAAATCAAAATCATCCTCTTTCGTTTCGGTTTCAACCATGCTCGTGCCAGCAGCACCAACTGCTTCCGGCTTGAATCCTTTCAATCCTCTTCCTTTCCTTCGCCACCGCAAAATTACCTTATCTAATATCCCGACCGACCAGATTATCTTTCCGTAGTTCTTTCTCACCTGGTGTCCTCTTACATGAGCCTTTCGTAAAAAAAATATCAAAATTAGAAACGGGCATTCAACCTTTTTTAAGAAAATTTACTGATATACGTGTGTGTGTGAAATGTTAAATGACATTTCAAAATTTATCGGCACCGTTCCGACTTCAAAATGTGATTTTGACTTTTGAGCTTTTCCAGTTCAAATTTGGCAAAACTCAAAACATCAAATTTGTAGTTCTTCAAGTTTGCTTTGTAAGACAACTTCAAACAGCTAGATTGGATGTCGGGTGATAATGTTATGCGTGAATGAGTTACAAGCCGAACCCTAGAAAACTCAAACATGAAAGTTGTAGCCAATGTTCATTCATTCATTAATGCATCTCTCTCATCCGACATCCAATCTAGTTGATTCAAATTGGATTAGAAAGCCAACTCAAAGGACTAAAAACTTGGTGTTTAAAGTTTTGCCAAATTCCGACTGTAAAAGGGTCGAAATCACATTTGAGGTCAAAACGGTACCAGTAAAATTGAAACAACATTTAGCACCTCCTATAATATATAGTATTGGAAGAAAAGATAAAGGATACCTGAATTTTAATTATGCGCTGACGTATCAACAGAAACTCTCGTCTACCTTTCCAGCTGCGGAACTTGTTCTGTATCCGTATCACAGCAGCATTAACTGGCTCGTCGTGCTTTCCCGTTTTCTTGGTCTTTCCAACTACAATTGAAATAGCACGCTCATCCGACATTCCAAATTCATTATCACCGTACTCTTTGAGCTGCTTCCTTTGAAACGACTGTACTCTAAAGACTTGATGGATACGAGCCGCGGCTTGCGTTGCATTACGCACAGCGGCTAACGAGTCCTTCATCGACAGGCCGTGAGGCAGATCGCCGTAACCAACTGGAGTCGCGATCCGCTCGGAAACTGTTTCCACGGTGTTACTATCACTCTCTTTAGATTCCTTCAAGTCGAGCGACCATAGGTGGGTGCTCAAGGAAGATTCCGCAAGATAACCGGCAATGCCTTTATGACCGTTGCTCGACGCCAGATCTGCAGGAGGTCGTCCCGAAGTATATATGGGAGTGGGGTCCGTCAATGCGCCAGGTGCTGCACCGAGAGAGATGAGAAAGCCCACAGTACGCTCTCTAATATTGCAAGTTGAACCGGAGAAAACGAGAATAAACATAAGTAAGTTGATGGATATAAAGTTGATTGAAAATCCGAAATCTGATTCCGATAAAAGGACGTAAATTTGGATTTAAATGATTTCGTAATTGGGACAATACAACACACAGAACTCAGCACAAACAAATGCTAAAAAATTATCCGAAATCAACGTTAAAAGTCGGCAACTCTTACCTGCCGTAATATGCTGCCCAGTGAAGCGCAGTCCATCCATTTGCGTCACGGAAATTGACGCTGACCCCAGCAGCTATGGTAGGTGGTATAGCCCAGTCGTAACCTAGAGCTGCCGCGAAATGCAGCACCCCTTGGCCTCCATCGTCTAGTACATTAGGGCCTTTTCCACCTTCGGCAATCTTCTCTAGAAGCCAAACGTGCAGCTTTTCCTTTAAAAGCTTTTGTAGCAGCTGATCCTTTATCTTATCTGCCGAACACTCGTCCTGTTTACTAAAGTTCAACATTTGTTCCCACTCGGTGTCATCTTTTAGCAACAGACTGATTTTACTACATAAATGTGAGGTTTCAGCTGCATTGCTGTGGACGGAGGAGTTTTTGGGGGTGCCCGATTCAAGAGACAACAATTTACCGAATCTCGTGTAGAGATGAGTTTCATCGGAAGTAATTGTTCCGCCGCCGTCCATAAGATCGACATCTTGAACAGACCTAGTACGGAAATCGAATTCACGTACTTCACTGCATGCTAACCTATTGGAACACGTGATATAAAACGGGATCCTTCCGGCGTCGTGCGAAGGCGTGTGGCACCGAAGAACACCGTCACCTACAATCTCTGCGGGAACTTCCAGTTCGCCAAACATGCAAGCCCATTTATACTTGTCAACCTCCTCTTGCCTCCTCAAGAATCTTCCGGAAACAAGGACCTGATCAACAAGAGTATAGAAGAAAGAACAATATAATTCATCAGATATCTCGGAACTTTTATAGAGGGGAGAAGTGAAAAAGGCCGAATATTGTATAATAACATACCTTGATTTCCGACCCGGAATATGCCCAATTAGGGGAGAAGTCGGTAATGGTAAAAAGCTGGTCTTGAGAGAGAGAGGGGGCGAGAATATAGTTGTCTAAAGGAACTTGATTGGAGATACCAGAAGCATCTCCATCTTCGTTTCCGACAGTTTCCCAATATGCCCCCGAACTAGGTTGCATAGTTGTCTCGGTGACGTCACCTAGTTCTTTACTCATCCAACGATCAAAACTATCGAGCTTTTTCAGACCTTGCAGAAGAACGCCGTCCAATAGAGGCTGTTTCAATGCTGGATAACTGGTTTTATCCTCGACATTTACGTTTCTATCGTACACTGATTTTATGGAACTTTCTACATCATTCAAATCGTGTAGTTGGAAATCGTTTTCCATAGGGTGCCCGCTTTGTTCGGGTGGATATATATTAGAAAGACCCATCGAGCCGCACAATTCTGCTTGGCTGACGCCGTCTAGTTTGGTAGTATGATCGTACAACGGAGGCTGTCTCGAGGATGTATAATAGGTGTTCTGTCCTAAATTCAGGTTGTCTTCTGGCTTCTGATCCATGGACCAATTTGATATGTGCAAGGAATCACGATACGGAGCCTGTCAAGAGTTTCAAAACAAGAAAGCCTGTTAGACAAAACTTGGTGTCGGAAATTTAATTTGGGTGATTGAATCTTGAAATCATGTTTTGCCACTACTAATTGTAAAAAAAAAAAAAAACGGGATGCAGACGTAATACACATAATCATTTCAAACATTGAATACCTGCCAATCTCCCAAACCATCAGAATGATTTCCGGAATCCCGTTTATTTCTGATCAAATTCGTAAAAACTTGATCCAGCAGTTCATTTTCTTGTCCGGGCATGATGCCCATAGTACTTGTTTGGGTCGATGGAAGCGATTGCTGAAAATTGACAGCACTGCTTTCGACAACGTTTTGCCACAATGGGAACTCGAGGTTTTGGTGAAGCTCGTACGTTAAACCACTATCCATTGGATTTTTATTTTTTTCTCCTTGCATAACTGATCCGAAATTCATACCAGGGACAGCTGGCATCTGTCCTCGATAATTATCTGTCATAGCAGTAAACTGTTAGTCATACAAACACCACATTAGAACATTCAAGTAAAAAAGACGACACTCCCATATTCACAGTCGAGAACTGATCTCACCTTGCAGTCAAATGGACTTTTTTCATGGGAAAAAGTTTTTTTTTTTTGATGAAATTTACATCATACTTATTACTTGAAAATTTTATGACGTATAAAAC